TAATAATTTTTTTAAGGACAATAAAGCAGTAAAGGTTGGTTTGATAATTTCATAAACAGGTCTGGAATACTTTTTTCATATTATTTTTATTTTTCATTATAGATAAATCATAGAAAATCCATAGTCACTTAATTTGTATTCATTTATTAATAGCTTGGAGAGGATAAATGCTAGAATATCGACACAGAAGCCAACAAAATCTGAGACTCAACATACATTAAATAATCATTTTCAGAAATAATTTTTATTGAATATTTGATAGTTGACGGTTGCATTATAAAGGAAGGAGATGGTCCGGGGTGGCGGTCATAAATAGGCTAAATAGTGGCAAAACTATTTGATTAAAAGCCAACGTTTCGACCCGACTTTGCAGGTCTTCTTCAGGGAGGTGTGTTTAGCTAGGAGTTTCACTTAGAACTCCAGTAAACTCTCTAGTTCTAAGTAAAACTCCTAGCTGAACACACATCCCTGAAGAAGACCTGCAAAGTCGGGTCGAAACGTTGGCTTTTAATAAAATAGTTTTACCACTATTTAGCCTATTTATGACAGTCACCCCGGACCATCTCCTTCCTTAAATAATGTTTATGTTTGCCAAGTATTTATATTTTAGAGATTATACATATCTTTTCGTTACCTTTTTCCGTCATTTTAAATTTAATCTTTGATAATCCTGACAGGTAATGCTCTCTACGTGTCCGGATTATTAAGGCCGTTCTGTATTCTGTGTAAGCTTCCATTTTAATAACCTGAAAACCTTTAGCTTGGTAATGAGGCTTATGAATTAGAATAAGACAACAATCGACTTCTGACCCTGATTATAAGCTCAAAAAGAATATCGCACCTCAAGAGTACCTTCCCCATCCTTGCAAGACAATATCGTGGACAATAGGAAGAGGAGGAGGGACAGATATAAAAGCTGTTTTAAATAAAGCAATCGCGTTAGGACATGGATTGTAGTGGTGAGGGTAATATAAGGTATAGGGCTACCTTGGGGTGCAGTTCTGGAATGCCCTTCGCCCTTCATACAACTTTCTACCCCACGGGCCACTTACAACCTCCCCTGGCACCGTCTTCGCAACAACTTCAACTTTCTTTATATTCTTCTAGGGGGGGCTTAACCGTCTCCTGTTTACATCTCGCCCCCTCTTAAACCAAACATTAACTTGTTACTCTAACAATTTTACTAATTGTAAATAATAAAGTACAATCCCGATAAATCTTAATACTACGTGACCAAAGGTTTATTACGAATTATTGAGACTTTCGAAGGTGGATTATGAATTATTGACTGTTAAAAAAAAGGGGAAAAATGACAGGAATTTTAATAAAACTAATTATATCATTAATCAGTTTTAGAATAGAATAGAAAAATAATTTTATTCTGGGACGAAGTCCCTTCAGAATAACAAAAAAGTACAGAAATTAAAATTTTACATCTGGCCAGATAAAAACAAACATAACAAATTAAGATTAAAATAGGTCATTAAAAAAAAGAAAAGAAAAAAATATTGATTATACATACTATATACAAAATAAAATAAAAAAATCTATGTAAAAAACTCTTGAAACCATACTAAGATACTTAAAACTATGTACAATGTTAAAATATAAATAAACCCTTTTAGAAAAAATAAAAAATACAGAAAAAATAAATGTATATTCTTCTTAACAGTAAAATCTGTTTCTGTTGAAAAAAAAAAGAAAGTCGAATCTAAAATAAGTATTTAGGTATGAGCTGTATGTGAATATGGTCTTATAGATAATATGTAATTTTACATAAAAGGTTAGCTGGTGCCTGACTGTTTTTGGGACAGGAATTGGAATAGGAGGGTTTTGAATGCAGATAAGGATGAAGAATGTCGAATTTTGATAGGAAGGGAATTCCAGAAACTAACAGAACGTGCAATAAAGGAGTTTTGGAACGAGGCAGTTATTTATTAAAATTCCTTATACTTACAATATAAAATGAACATGTTTAGTGAAAATATGAACTAAAATATATGTTGAATATTTAATAGTTGGCCGTAGCATTATAAAGGAAGGAGATGGTCTGGGGTGGCGGTCATAAATAGGCTAAATAGTGGCAAAACTATTTTATTAAAAGCTAAGTTTTAATTTAGGATCTTGTTACTTAGCTTACTATGTTTGTATTTTAATGTACTTACTGTTTATCATTTCAACAAGCTTATTCACATTGTTTATAATTTTTTGTCTAAATATTATGTAACTTCCACAATTCTCTATCATGTCCGTTATAGCCCTGAAGAAGACCGGCAAAGTCGGGTTGAAACGTTGGCTTTTAATAAAATAGATTTGCCACTATTTAGCCTATTTATGACCGCCTTCCCGGACCATTTCCTTTCTTTTTAAAATATATGTTCTTTACGATCCTTAAAAAATTAAAAAAAAAAAGTTTCATTTTAGTACTTAATTTTGACATTCCAGCGAAGTTTCATCTTTTGTAAAATTGACGAAAGTGTGAACGGAGGAACATTAAATCGTTTAGCGACGTCAACTTTTTTATTCCAATCAAACAAATGTTTTTATAATTTTCTTTTTGGCATACGTCAAAGCAACTACAAATAGTCACGGTGAATGCACACTGAACTGAATTTTATATATTATATAAAATTTGTATATATAAGGGTACTTATACGAATAAAAATACCCACAATGAAATATAAATGAAAATAGCATTTATAATTTTTACTTTCACTTCCCCTTCGTCAAAAAATACTTATTTCTGTTAAGAAGAGAGTTGTAAGTGGAAAGTTGTGTGATGAGCGCACCGCACTATATAATAAGATATAATTTTATATTTTTTCTTTTTCTTTTTATTTTTTGTTAGATATTGCATAGTTTTTATCAGTCGTTCGTTTCCCCGATCAGCTGTTTGATTGTAACCTTCCCTAGCTGTGTTATCATCTTACCTTCCTTCCAGTACGCGATTGGGTGTCACGGAGTTATGTTCAATTAGCTGTTCTTTTCAGTACTGATAATGCCCCAATTGGAGAAACGTCGATGTATTTTTTTTTTTTTTTTTTTTTGCCAGCATTTTGGAGACATAATGCTGTGTGGTTTGGAATTTTTCCAATTATAAACTAACGTTCGCATTGATAAATATAAGCCCATTTCTCTTGATATGATACCAATACGTTTGTTTAATCTCCAAATCACTGTTATCTCATATTGCTAATATAACACAGATTTTATTTTATTTTTTTATACAAGTGATAGAGTGATCTGTAAATCCATCTATAAACAAATTTGTCCTTCATTTTCATTAATACATTCATTTAAATGGTGATAAATCAATAAAAAAAAACTTTTTATCTCTCTATATATAGAACTTTTGTAGTAGAAATGACAATTAATGAGCTCAATCAACTACATTCCTAAATTTCAAAACACAAAATTTCATCATAAATATCGATGAACGAAAACCATAGAAATGATAACAATTTGATATTAGATGGTCAGGTCTAAATATGCAAACAAAAATATTTTTTTAATTTTTGTTAATGGAAAAAGTAAGGCTAAAAATTATATGGAAAGAAAAAAACAATAGATAGAGAAAAATATAACAAATTATGGTACTATATTTAGCTAGAGGAAAACTACCCACATAACTAAAAAAATACTCTAAAAAAGGAAACTGATATATTTGGCTTTCAGAATAAGATTTATGGTGATTCTTTTAAAACTACACCACAGCACACTTAGTATCATATTTGAAAAAAAAATAGAAAGCCCATTTGACAAAGCTGTGACACAACACATCCCCCAGACTACTTTCACATCCCCCAAGTGAAGAGCAACAATATCAAAACATTTATGCTTATTAACAGTATAAGTAGAATAAATTTGGTAAAAAAATCAACAGATATCTTCATTCGAGCAGCGATAAATATATATATTATTTTATCATTTGTTTATTATAGTAAAAACACCCTTAGTCTTGATTTAGAAATGACAATGTACATAAAAAGTAAAGAGAATGAAAGTAAGGAAGGCTGTTTTAATTGAGATAAATAAATTTTTAAAATAAAAGTGGAAAAGGAAAACAACTAAATTTATATAATGTTGACTGTAGACAATAAGGCTGAGAAATTGGTTGAAGATTGCAGTCAGTGAGAACACACAAATAAAAATATAATATTATTATTTTAATTTGTGTCGAGATTGAGAGCTGAGGAAAAACAAACTAACAACCAAAATCATTTAACGACTATTGTAAAAAGATATAAGAACAAAATATATGTTATCCGCTAATAAATAAATTTTTAGGAGTGAATAAAAATTAAAATATATGAGTAAGGAATGTATTATTAAGACATGAGAAGTAATAAATAAAACGATTACAAAACGATATTAATAAAATTTAATAAACAATTAAATGAGGCACAAATGGATTGGAACATTGAGTTATAGACAAATCAGAGAAATAAATTTATATAAGAATATTTTAATCAAATTATAACCATAACAAGCACAAGTATATTAGATGTTTTTTTTAAAGATGTACTATGCCAGTTATTTTATTTTAGGTTATTTCAGAATGGCTTATTATTGTAAACTAAACAAAACATGTTCTTGTTAAAAAGTTTTTTGTTTTGTTTTTGTTGATATAAAGTTATGGGAGTGTTGTAGTCTTTGTAAAACCTTATTCTATTAATGATTAAATCAAAATTTTGCTAAAACTTAATAACCAAAATAAGGGTTTTTACCAGAAAAGTTCATAATATATTTAATTTTTTTCTCCTTACAACTGATATAACTGTGATAATTTTTTTTTTTTAAAAAAAGACTTCATTATGATTCATTTAAATAATCAATTAGAATTTTTTTTTAAATTACAAGTAAAGTAAGCAGCCGATAGATATGATCGCAAAAATAAAAAAGCAATTAGTATACATGAGCTAGAATCAATAGCAATAATTGGAGTAGGTGATTAACTGCAGAGATTATAGAAGGCAATTTAGTATCGCAGTCGAGTGCATTTAGAACAGAGCCGACTGAAGAACAATATATAATAAATGGGAGGACAGAGGAGGTGATAATTGAATCAGGAGAGCCGGAGGTAAGAGAAACATCTCCGAGTGTTGATGAAACATCATTAGTCTCAGGCAGTTGGCTGGGATTTGCATAGGAACCCCATTTACTTGAGGAGGTTCCTCCTCCTCCTCGAGTCTTCCCCAACACTCCTCTTCCCTAATATCTCACATGATCGCAGTTTAACTAACTTTACATCATCGACAATTATTATTATTATTTTAAGTAAATGAATAATTAAATAAATTTAAACTTAACTATAAACAAATATATCTTCATTTCAAGCAAGGACATATGACGAATTATTGCACTATGAATTTTCATTCATGCATTTCTGCTGATGAGCACCATACGTTAGGTACTAGTTCGACGCATATTTTAACGTTCTTAAATAGTACGTTTTCCGCTTTGATGAAACATTCAAGAGTTATAGGTGCAAAAAACAAAACAAAAAAAAACTGGCTTTTATAGCTGTAAAAAGTTTATCATTGGTTGCTTGCGTTTGCATTTTTTTTTTACAACATTTTTTACTATATTTTTCCCATTTCGATCTTCAAGTCTTTAAATCAGAAGCTATTTCTGGAATGGCAGATAAGGTTACTTACAATAACACACATGTTCATAATTTACATTTAAACCTTTGCCTGTAATGAAGTCACTTTTTGGGTCCTGACTCCAGCGGTTATTTGTATTGTGAAGTACACGCATAGAACTATTCTTTTTTTTTTTACCATGATTTAGATTAAATTTAAGCAAAATGAAGATTAATGTTTTAGATTAGTATACAACTCTATAGCAGTAATTGTTAAATTAATATTAATATTATAAAAAAATTAAAAATAATTACAAAAAGATTTTTAAATGAATTTTAATTTTTACAAAACACTAATTTCACATAAGTTGTTAAATTATGACATAATGAGTTCTTTCAAGTTTTTTGCTTTAGTAAAACTTTTTTTAATTAAATGAGAAAAAAAGAGGCAAAGTAATTGAGAGGAGAGAATAAGAAAACAACTAAATTTATAATATTCATATAATAATTAATTATAGAATGTTTTATTAAAAGTTTTTTAAAATTATTGTTATGACTATTGTTTTTTTTTAGAATATTTGAAAAGCCACATTAAAGCCAAAACGTTATGATATATAGATTTTTATTAATAAAATTAAATCGGTGAAAGTAATATTTTATTTTTCCAATTAATCATCTATTGATTAAATATAATAAAAATTGTCGTAAAAAAAAACTAAACAATACTAGACATGTACAATACAATGTATATCATGATTCATTTTAACAAAAACCATAATTATTGAATGCTAAATGAATCTAATTGAAGCTAAAAGTCATGTGAACAATAATAAAATAAAATAATATAATGGCTATTTAAAAAAAATAACTAAAAACTTACAAGAAAAAGAAAAACTATAAATAAATATAAGAGAACGAAAAATGCTTTCCACTCGACTTAATGTCATATTTTTATTTCTAATAATAAAATAACACATTTGATTCTTAAGTCAAACTTTTCCCAACATTTCAACCCTCAAGACCACTTTCAAGGAAAAAAACACACACATATTTTAGAAATAAAACCATTTGGGGTGAATTGTACATATCACATTTTTGTATATGAAATAATAAATAAGATTATATAAAAAAATAAATGTGACATACACAAATTAGTCCAAATGCTTTTATTTTCAAAATAGGTTTTTTTCTCTCTTAAAAATGAAACATAGGTGACAAAAAAAAAAAAAAAGATATGATTTAAGGATCAAATGTGTTGTTTTATTATTAGAAATTTGTTCTATACAAGTTTTCTAGAAACAATTTAAATATTATTTGCCGTTTTCTTTCTTTCACTTCAACTTATTATTTTTTTTTCTTAACTACAAAATCCAAAATAAAGAATTTTGGAACCTAAGTGGACTAACCTCGTCAGCTGAGATTTTAAGAAAAACCCTTTAGAAGATTTTATCTTATTTATTGTTTAAATAGTTTTATTTTTTACATTCGACAAGCGTAGGGCAAGTAACTGAATTGTACCATACTGTACCAAGTGTATCCATTAAATTGCTTTCATCTCTTGTATGCTGTTGACAATTCAGTGAAATAAATGTTCAAGACAGTTTTATTTTTTTAATAATACTATCTCACTTTTTACCGTGTTTCTTAAAAATAAGATGTAAGTAAAACTGCAAAACAAATACTAGCAGAGGTAATATGACCACTATCAAGAAACATTACCATGCATCAAAGACATTAAGTCGAACTTAAATTACTTACTTGGAGAAGTTTCAATTATTTCGAATTCACTGGCTCCGTAGGTTACGCTGATCTCCAAGTCAACATAAAAGAAACCAATCAGAGCATTCCATTCTTCATCTGTAACAGCTGTGAACCTGAAATAAGTCAATATAATTAGACACGTTTAACCATGAAAATATGTTTTCTAGGAACCATACTCTCAAACATTGAAGGTAATTAAAATACATTGATTTTAATCATTGCAATTGAACCAATATTAAAAAATCCATGGAAATATTAACAAAACATTTCTTGTTATATATATATATACACACACACATATATATATATATATATATATATATATATATATATATATATATATATGGAAGTAAGAGGCTGAAAAACTAAATCTCTTAATCGGCAAGATCAGCAGAAGATTCTGAGAGTGGCCAAGTTGGACTGTAGAGCCATAAATATATACAGAATAGAAAAATAAATTTATTCTGGGACAAAGTTCTTTCAGAAGGATAGAATGGTAGAGACAAAAATAATTACTTCTGTTTCATTACATAAATAAATAAACAAAAAACTTCAGAAGAAATGAAACAAAATAATCGTTGCTTAGAAAAAAATAAAATAAAAAGGAAAAATAATTCTTTTAACAGATGTGCACCTCCATATAAGAAATTTCAATGTAAATATAAGAGAATTACAACAGTTATTTAAATCAATTTATATATATATATATCATATACATTACAAATAAGAGACTTATAGAATTGTAACATAAGATTTTTATTTATTATACAATCTTTCATTAATAATTAATTGAGGTAATTCTACATCAACTCCAATTTTAAGCCTGAATTTGATTAAGGGCTGAAGTTTTAAGTTCTGAAAAAACTTGTGGTAAGTTAAGTGGTCGAAAGGATTGTAAATTAAACTGACCAAGTATTGAAACAGAAAATTGATAAAATAATGAGCTTAGCTACTCTCAGTTTAATGACTAAATAATGAGAGATGAAAGCAGATGGTCGCATTTAAAATCGAGCCCTAGATGTGATGATACGGTATTAATTGTGCAACATGCTCCAGCAGACCCATCCATAGCCTGGAGTCCCCCTTCCTGGAGCATGGAACTGGATCCAGCCAGCTCCAAGCCGAGGGCTGTAAAAACAGTTGAGCCTTGATGCGCACCACAACACTTTGCCTAACTTTGTCATTTACATAATGACTCCGACAGAGCCATCTTTCCCCCCTCAACACCCATTACCACAAACAATAAATCATTTTTAATATTATGCAAGGATCTAATTACAAACACAATTTTATCAACATTAAAAGATACTTATATGCATTGAAAATATTTATAGCTTACGGCTAAAAATATTAATAATTATTAAAATTGCATTTATTATGTTGTTAAAATAAAGTAAAAATTTTTAAGATTTAAACAAATAAAAACTGTGATACAACAAATCTCGATGGAATTAAACTCACTATTAACTTTATTTAATAATACAATTTCAAGGTTAGACTGAAGGCAGGAAATGCTTGTTATTTTTCTGTGACAAAACTACTTAGCTCGCGCCTCTTGTCCCAGAACTTATAAATTAGAATCTATAAAACCATTATCTTACCTACAGTTCTTTATGGATGCGAGACTTGGCCGCTTACATTAAGGGATGAGCAGCGTCTTAAAGTTTTTGAAAATAAAGTATTGCGTAGAATATTCGGACCAAAGAAGGGCGAGTTAACCAGAGAGTTCAGACGGTTACACAACGCAGAATTGCGTGAATTGTATCCGAGTAATATAATTGAGGTAATTTCATCGCGGCGAATCAAATAGACTTGTAAAATTGTTGGGCTTAGTAACGAGAGAATTCCTAAAAGGTTAATATTTGCTGTACCAAATGGTAAACGTCCGAGGGGCAGACCGAAGCGAAGGTGGGAAGATTGCATTAAAGCCGATCTGAAGGGACTGGTTTTGAACGCCGAACGGTGGAGGGAGATGTGTAATAGGCGATTGTTAGTGTCGGCATCGAACCTTCGGGTTCGCTAAGACTTTTATTATTATTATTATTAATAATACAATTTCGCTCATTTACCTATTTATTTATTTACTTTGTCACTCATTTGTATCTAGTTGTCAAAATGAAGTCATTTTTATGTGCCAGCTCAAAAATTTTTATGGTGCAAGTTGGGCAAACTCCCATCTGGGCACTCCAGATTCTTTGTACGGGGATTTCTGAAGAGAAAAAATATATGATGTGTATTTGGGCAGAATGGTTAAAAAAGCTTTTGATGATTTTTTTTTTTTTTTAGATCACTAAATAAATACAAGTTTCATTAAATTTCTTGAAAAAAAAAGAGGGGGGACTGGTTTCGGAAATAGGATTATTTTTAAACTTTTTTTAAATATTTGAGTTCATAATTGAAAAAAAGATATTATAAGCACCATCGGATTCATTGGGTATTTTTGAGCAGGAATCGACACGTATCTCGATTTAAAAAATATATATATATTAGGTTAACTTTGGAAACAAACGACTCATTTAAGACCCACCAAACCGATCTGGGAATAAATAAATATATATAAACCTAAATCATTTGCATACTTTATTATCGTAAGGCTGAAGCTCTTCATAAACGTATAGTTCATACAAAAAGTCAATCATTTGGAAGCGGTACAGCAGTCTGTTTACGTGTTGTTGCATATTAAAACGTTAAATTTTCGCCGAATTATTCAACAGAAGGGGATGAAACGGCACCGTTAATTTTTTAAGTTGAGAAGGGATTTAGACGGAACTATGAAGGAAAGCGTAGCTGGGAGTTGATTGAGACATCAAGCAATAATGGGAACCACTGAGGGAAGCCTGGGGCTGTGAAGAAACTAAACAATTTTATAAAATCTTAAAAGCCGTGGAAGATAAAATGTATAAAGAAAGAGAGGAGCGTGGAAGAGAGACATGTTATTTAGAGAAAGGTGACGAAGACAGGGCCGGGGGAGGAGGTGGGAGAAGTTCATTAGAAATCGCATTAGACAAAGAATGTGGCGGCAATGAGTAGCTAGCTCCGGGGCGCCCCCCCCCTCGATCCCCCTCCTCATTCACCTACCGAATTAATTACCAAACATTAATTAACTTTTAAACTATTCCCCAGCACAAAGTTAAAATCTCCGACAATCAACGGGCTCGGTACCAATGTACCCACATCTTTTTGTACCGTTTCCTTCCCTTACCGATCAATGACAATACGAACTCGAGAAAAGACAACAGCCAAAATACTAACTCTAGTATTAAAGGAACGTAATTATTAAAAAAATATAAATAAATAGAACTAACCTTTTCCGAATCCGCCATAACAAAAAATCGAATCGAAATAGGATCAATCCATTTGAAAACACCCATGTTGCTCGACATTTTTTATTTCAATGATTTTTTTTACCAGTTATTTCATATTTATTTGAGAGTTCAAAACAGTAGTTGAAAAAATTTTAATGCTCACAGTTTTTTCTCGGCGCCCATTTTTAATTTTCATTTCGACTGAAAACATGTTTTGAAAAAATGCCTGTACCTCTGGTTATATTGTAGATATCAAACTAAAACAAAAACTGAAATAATTTAGATTATTTTTTCTACATTTCTGTTTACTAATAAATCGCCTAAAAAAAAGAAGGAATGTGAATTTAAATCACCAGGCATTTTCCCAATTTTAAATTGAAAATTTTTTCAACTAATGTTTTGAACTCTCAAATAAATATGGAATAACTGGTTAAAAAAAAATACGAAAATAAAAAATGTCGAGCAACAAAATTAATTCAAATTGGAATGGATTTAAAATGAACTGACACTATATTTCCCCACTGTGTATTTTTATTTTAGTTTTTAATACATTAAAAAAAAAAACTACATCAAATAACTTAATTATGAAAATACATACATTTTAATTATGTAATTCGATGTTGATTTATAAAAAAAGAATAGTTAACATGAAAGTATTTTATATTTTTTTTATTTCCTTCCTACCCTTCTTTAATTTCACTTATCCTTGTTAGTTTATAAAAGTATTTTTGTTCCTCTTATTGCCTTTATATTTTTAAACAAGCCTTTGAGGACCACTTAGACGTTATTTCATATAGTTTCCTTTTTTTTTTTTTTTTGTTCCAGAATAATTACCAATATCACTATTATGATAATATATATAAAAAAAAATCCTCTACAAAATTAAATACCGAATTTTGTCAAGTACTAGAATACAGACTCCGATTCCAAAATCATCCAAAATATTTTAGCATTGATGTCATATTTTCGGAACCTCTAGCGAAGAATAAATTAAATCTATCATAGTTTATATCTATACAATAAAAACCTGATTTAGAAAAGCTTTGCAATAGAATTTATTACGTTGGAACAGAAACATAATTATGTATGTATTGTGAATATAAGTAGAAAAAAAATCATGGTTGAGAGCGTCAGAGTTTAATGGAGAAAAGAATGACCACAGCTACATGGTTCTTCGATGTTCACCCGCCGTGATGTTGTCCATATCAATATGGAATAACACAGAAAATATTTGTTCCTGTAAAATAAACTTGTTACGTTTCCAATATATATTGATACTGTCCATACTCACATTGTAGCGTCTTGCTCCGACGCGGGATCGTACATGAGGAGCCCATGGACACAAACCAGAGTATTGTTCCTCAGGCTGTACAAGGGCGGAGAGCGGCCATTTTCTCTGTAACAAGGCAATTAGTTAGATAATAATATCAATGACAAATAATATATACAATAAATTATACAACAATCCAAGTTCCCGTCGAAGAATATTTGTATCGACAGGGTGGTATAACTAGTCGTTTTGTCGAACTCCACTTGATTGAACATTCTGTCAAAAAGGAATATATTTCAACCAATGAGATGCTTTTCAAAAACACTTACGTAATTATAATTATTTTTTTAAATAAGTGATGTTCGAATTAAAATTTCTGATGAGACATGTTACACAAAATTCACACAAATCAATAATTTGAGAATAATATTTAATTCTCAATACTACTTGATAGCTTGATGTTCATCATTCTATCAACAGGAGAAACGAGGAATTATGGATTGAAAATCATTTATGTCCAACTAAAGACGATATCCAACAAGGCTTAACAGAATCAGAATGGAGATTGGTTAAAGCTGATTTGAAAAGGTGCTGCTATCAATAACTCAAGGGATACCTGTCAGACCCATGTTAACTAAGGAAGAAGGACACTAGGGCAGGACAGCATAATCTTCCGAGTGGATGACCTGTCAGTGTACGTAACAGGAGTGTATCGGAAGTCGGATCTAAGTTTAAGCTCAACTATTGCAGGATACTAATTACCTAACATGAATTGAAATCAAGCAGCTTTGAGATGTAGGGATGTTAATAAATATTATTAATAATAGGACCTGGCGAACGCGAAGGTTCGAAAGCATACCTCTCCGAATCGGCCTTGCCGTAACACAAATCTCCCTTCTACGTCACGGCCTATATCAAACTATAGTAATGTAAATAATCAATAAATGTTTTGGTATCTACGGTTATAAGAATCATATTTTTTGTTGTTAGAAATTGGATTATAAAGAGACTGAGATTGTATTTTTGTCAGAAACCAGGAATAACCAACCACTATTCTGCAAACAAATATAATGTAAACCGGGTAGCCAACAGACAAAGAAGGGTGAAGAAAAAAAACTAATTATTAATTGTGGAACAGACGGGAAAACAGTATAAACGTCTATATATATATATATATATATATATATATATATATTATATATATATATATATATATATATAATATATATACCTTCGACGCCACTCAATACATCTATTTTTTTAATTATCGCAAATATCTTTTCTTATATACAATTAAACTCCTCCGAATAGATTACTTGGTGACAATTGGTAAATTACATTAGTAGTTCATGGAATTAGCATATAAAAAAATGTTTTAATATAATAAGTTCTCACTCGTTATATGACTAGATAATGTGCATCCATAGCTGTAAATAATCTTTGTTTAATTTTGAATTGTTATTTGTAGATGACTCGATAATGAGCCAATCAGCTCAAAACGTCGTCAGAAGTATAATAAAAAATTGTTGAAAATATAAGAACATTGAGTCCCCTTGAAAAATACTGCTGAAGTATCTAAATACATGGATATAGAATTCTGAATAAAACTATTTGGCCAGTTAACAGTGATCATCCTATAAACAACCTTAATCAAAACCAGACGAGATGAATTGTATGGCGGAGGTAATTTATTGCGACAGCATTTGTCCAAGGGACACCTGACAAGGAACACGGCCCGGATCTAGGGATTATCCCGAAGGCTCCGTTTACACTGCGGTCGGGGAGTAAGACAGCTTAATTAAAGCCGCCGAGGGGAAAAACGGCAGCAGGAGATCCCCGAGGGACGGCTGCAAATGAAGGGCATTAGCCAGGAAAAAGCCCTTCACTAAGCCCCGCGACACATATCTTCCGTCAGGTAGCGGAGAAAAAATTAACGGCGTCATAGGAGGGGACGTCAACTTGGCGGTTAGGGACCTTCCAAACAAGGACCAATTAGGGCCACCAAGGAACCTTCGCGGGGGAGGAATAAAAAAAAGAAAAAAAGTACAAGAGAAAAGAATAAAAAACTGCCCGCATAATCTGCATATTTAAAAGAGACGACTTAACGCACCCGAATTGAACTATTTAATGTGTGGGGGAACATATAATGGGGTGGACACACAGGAAGGGATCTGTCTGATCTTTGAGGTGCATAACTTCCCTCTCATTTTCAAAGCTTCATATTAAGCATTGATCACTTATTAGACTTCAGTAGATAAGACAAGACGCAGCGAATATCAACGTAATAGTAGGAAATCCATGTAGTATATCCACAAACCGCACTACAACTTTTACCCAAATATCACACCTAAACATGGTGTCTAACAACTAGTTATTCATATACAACAAATTCTACACTTTTTTACGCATTTTTATGATAATTCTCATATAGCAACATTTTTACAAACATTCAATCATAACATAAGATAACAATACAATTTTAATTTAATAAAACTTAAATTAAAAACATTTTACCGGATTTACCAGAGAATGACAGATAGACTGTAAACGATGGAATCTTCTTTTTTTCTAAATAACAACAAATAAAATTTTAGTTTATACCGTTCAGTTTCCAGATTCATAATAACAGTTAAATTTTGCTAAACTCTTTTTACGGCTCTTAATAACAAAGAAGTTTAGTCTAAATTGATTCTGTCTTTTATCTTTATAATGAAAATCTTCCGCCATTTTCATTTTCGACAGCAGTTTGTACAGCTTGAAATTCTTACAGCTATTACATATATTTAAAACAATAGAAAAATGTCTTTTCAAAATCTTTCCAGCCATTTTTACGTGAAAAACATACAAATATCATAACATACAGAGAGGAATTTGAATGGACTTGCTACATTTGTGCGATAACATACAACATACATCTATTTTATAATACAAGTTAACATGTTTGACAGATAATTAGATAAAACGTTTGATAACTACATCGAACATTTGATTTAAGCAAGCATCGGACCATCATCTTTGAGACTACATAGCCGTTTTACTAATCCGTTCCTTATATCATTCACACAGCGTTTTCAGTTGTCGCGATGTTATTTCATTAATCGGATGTTGGTTATGTAATTTCGTTTAGTTGTCCAAATTCTCCTAAATATTCATTTGGAACGGATTTAGTTCTCTCCTAAAGGTAAGCAGCCTCGTTTGAAATCCGTAAAGAATGGTGAGAGTTGTTACAAAGAAATTAAGTAGCTCGCCTCATTAACCTTTATTTTATTTCTTCTTGAAATTCATTCCTTTTGGATAGAATAGAGCTTAGATAATTAAAATTCCCTTCGTACTCTTATGCATTCCTTCAATCACGAGGAAGAACCTCCCTTGCCAATCCATAAGGACTGAACTAAGCGAGGCAGTTGAGCTAAGCTGGCGAACAAATTAGTGATGGAAGGAGAACGAGGGAGGGCTCCAGTAGCTGTGAGGGGGTGCCCCGCCTGGATTGATTGTGACCGATGGCCCTCCGTCCAAGGCCTCCTAGATGGCTCTATTCCAATCCTCCGGGGTAAACCTTAGTCAGGGACGGCGGCTTCCGATGGTTTAATTAAAATTAAAACAGGAGCCCACGGCTTTGCTTAAAACTCCAGCATTAACAATTTCTCATGCATCGATGATTTCCATAATGGACTACAAGGAGACGAACAATTTGTCCTCAATCTAGGAGCATGGTAAAAGTTGTTATTTATACCCGTTTCATCTGATGACTGATTTAAAAAAAACAAGGGGTACTTGGATAAGGGAAGAACTAAGTTTCTTCAGATATGTAGAATTTAACAGTTCCTGGTACGGTTTGAATGGTTTGTCTTCATCCACCATCTCCTTTGATTATCCTTTTACATAATTTTACGCATTTTTATGCTTTTTATGGTTTCTGTTCAAAATGATAATAGGTTAGGGCAAATGTGATTCCTTTCTAACATCCGCCATATTTGTTTCTCTGGAATTACAGAATTATCTAAAAACCCTGTTTCTTGTTTGTATTTATTATATTGGAAAAAAAAAAATCTGTACCACTACCACCCGTGAAGGATCTTGGATTAAGTACTATTGTTTGTGCCAAAAATGGTTCGAATTTCCCGCGTTACGGCGAGTGGTGGGGGTAGATCTAAAAGATAAAAGAAAACACTTAAGCCTCAAGAGCTGCTGGTTTTCTTGCCCACTTCTTTGCTGGCAGCGACTCTGGACACATCACTGACCTGACCTGAGGGCCCTCCAGGTAACCAAAAGATGTAAACTCGCATAAAGACGGTAAGCTATTTTTTGCACAATCATTATAAACTAACAATCCATTAAGATGCAGTCGATTGCATAAAATCAGAATGTTGCCCATAATATGAATGTTGCCTTTATTGAAACTCTGTTACAAGCTCTGTTGAAGTTCTGCTACAAGGACAATGGTTGTGCAGGGAGATGATTGGGCCGATATCACGCTCAACCATCAGGTTTTCTCCCTTAATGAATTATTTAATTAAGAGTACCCACTTTATAGAGGTAGGGTATACCCCCAGAGGGTCTCCCGACCCACGGGTCGAACCACGGCTAATAAAAAACTACTAATCATCAGCCAAATTCGCACCTGGGATCTTGAGCTTTGGAATTCAGTGCTCACCCACTGAGCTACCCCGCTCCCCGTTATTTTGACAGAAACAGCGTTAAAAAAAATAAGAGATGTATGAATATAAAAAATTACCCAATAAATTGTAGTTATTTACAAGAAACAAATAATTAGTTGAAAAATTTGACTTTTAGATAGATAGTTTTATTTCAAAGAACTAAAATGACATGAATGTTAATAATTAATAGGTTTGTCTCAAACACGGGTTTGACTACCAACTCTCAGGCATAGTTGTAGAATTTGTTTTATTCCGCTTCAGATTCATGCGAGTTAGTCACAGGCGGATCTAAGGGGAGGGAGCTGTCGGGCTGAATCCTCCCATCCCAAAAAATGGTATAATGTAGCCATAGTTTATAGAAAAAATATTAAAAACTATCTCATCAAATATTATTGTTCGTGTAATTACATTTAATAGGACTTCAAGAATCACTTAAACACCATGTCATATAGGTAGTTAGTTTCTTTTTTTTTTTTCAAATTAATTATCGTGATATATACGAAAAAAAAGTTTCGGACTGAAGCACTCCCCCAAAAAAATTAAATCCTAGATTCGCTAGTGGTTAGAGTTAATGGAACGGAAAAACCGTACGGCACATACGCCTCAGAATTCGATGATTGTCAAAACAGGCTTAATTTTAACGTTAATTTCAAAAAATTTATTTTATTTAAAAATTTAATTTATAAAGAACGTATACAAGACTGTGATTACAATTTTTAAATGATAAATAAAAATGTTCATATTTAGGTAAAAACTTGAAATAACAGTGAGTCCCGGAGATGTGGTGGGGACTAGAGGTGTGGCCTGAATTCACTGCAGCATGACGTACACAGCTGCCAAAACACGATGCATTCAAACATCTCTTAGATTTTAAAACCTTAGTAGAAAATGTCTATTTATAACAGCTAATATATTACATTTCAAACTAAATATTTTTAGCTTTAGAAAAAACAAAAAGATATTTCATGGCTGGAAGTTTTGAAGTTGAAAACACTATTATAAGCTAAAAGTATAAGATGACGAACGGTATGAGCTAGGCACTGGTATGCCATGAAGGTGTCTCCACACTTGTGACGTAAGAGTTGTGCCCATCCCCACCACTTTTCTGTAACGCTAATTATCTTAACAAATATGGATCAGGAAAATTTGAGACTTATTGTGTTTTTGTTGTTATACATAATCTTCAACGACGAATAGAAACTGAAAACTCATGCGTGTTCGTTTCCTAATTAAAAGATCTCAATATTATTGAGATAAAGAATATAATGATACAGGGCCATTGAACCTAACACTCCATATTGTGACTAGACTCGGCCATCCGTCAAAAGGGAGCAGAAAAAGCTGGGAGGCAGAGGAGCTAATATCCTTTTAATTGGAGCAGCCTGTAGCAGTTCTGATTAGCATCCTTATTGCGAGCACTGCACTGTCACCATATCAATCACTAACGAGCCTTCATTAATCCACATATTATCGGATCCTCTTTTAATTATACATCCATCAGGTCTGTGGCGATCCATCCCCGATCAAGTTAGGGCCATCGTAATAATCGAGAATTAATTGATACGTATTAGGAGTCGATTGTGGTGACAGCCGAGTTAAAGCTCACTAGCTAATCGATTCGAATTTGAGAATATCATAAAGAAGGAAACGTTATGAGTACAAATTCTCAAAATCAGTAATAATCAGATACCGAACTTTTATGAAGTGAAAAAAAAGAAAGAAAAACGTATAATAAAAAAATGGTAAAAGTTCCATTTCGCTACTGCATGATGGCGATTGATTTCAAGATCATCAAGAGCACGCTATTCCCAGATGTCTGATGGATGAGGAAAGTAGACGAGTATTTCGACACAAAATATGGTAGCAAGTGAAATTTGAACAGATTGTAACTGTATTCACAAGACTCTCTTATAGCATAATGATTAAATCTAAAAGATTTGATAGAAGTTGCAAATCTCAACAATGAATTAAAATATCAGTAAAAATGTCAGGAAAATTATCGATTGATGTATCGTATTTAGCTATTTTGCAAACCCGAAGCATAAACGATAAAGGTTTTGTTTTTTGTTTTGAACCATGGATCCCACTCCATCAGTGACGTAAAGGTGAGACGGACATATCATCAGGGAGACACAGCTTACGATAGCCACAGGAGAGGAGGATCGACAGGACTATTACTAATGACTCCTGCGAAGAGCTGAAGAAGTGGAGGGTGTAACCATCATTAGCCCCCTCCCCCCATCCATCACCCTCCCCTGACCCGCAATTATAGGCCTTATCTGCTCCGGGACTGGGGGGAGGTATCTCCTGCTATCTCCTTCGCTCATGTCAAAACACAATGGATCCGCGATAAATCTCAACACACTCTATGTGTCCTCTGTCCTCTTCCAGGGGTCTTCTTCCATCTCCTTCGCTGGGTCTTTGAGGTAGCGAGTCTCTGTTGAGGTTAGGTGATTTTCCAAGCTATTAGTAAAACGTCAAAGAACGAGAGAGTATAGTATTGTATTTATGTTAACATAAATAAATTCTACGATACTCATATTTTCAATTTTAACATATCCTGTGCTCCTTTAATTCATCAGGCCTTATCTAAGCGTTAAAACATGCTTGTTTAATAAACATGATGGTTACATAACCAAGTACATCTGATTACCCGAATAACAACCAAATGTATGTGGGGAAACCTAAGGACGCAATCCCTCTTGCACGGATGGCAGTCATTGCGGTCCAAATTACAAAAAAAAAAACTAAATAGACAGAAAGTATTTTCGGTTTGATGGATAGTCATTCAGGAATGACAATCTCTATACTGACAATTATCACTTCAATCACGATGGCCCGTGAATGTACAAGATAGACTGTCATCATTTTACCTCTGTTGGCGTTGAAACCTAGGCGGTCTAAATCTTGATCTTGATCTAGCTCTTGCATCCAGAGACTCACAAGTCTTGTAACACATCAGTCTATCGCTATTTATTGAATAAGTTACTTCAGATATAAGAACAACGCTACTGAGAATATTTTGAGCGATGTTCAAATAGACATATTCGTAGTTAAGTCTATTCATGAAATTAACTTGACAATACTTTAAAATTTAGATTTAATGCAAGGCTAAGATGTTAAAGCACTGTACCATATCTCACAATATAATAATCCATACAATAGCTTTCAGTATTATGACGACCAACTTTGTTGGTTTTGATAGCAATACTAAGGAACGTCTATCAATACCGAAATTCAATCAATATTGAAATCATATACTCAATAATGCCGAAGTCGCACTTTGATTTAATTGTAAGATGCAAAAGTTTTGCAGGTCAATCTTGTTCTTCCTTAAATCTTGCAGGGTCTGTATTGGTCTTGGATTTGCAGCTAATAAGCGGTTTTGGTATAAGAATTTAAGACCAATAGTGTTTTTACCCAACACTGCAGGCAAATCTGGATCTGGTGCACTGTCTATTAATCATTTTTGATTTAACATTATACAAATTTATAGCTTGAACATTAAGCCAAAAGTGGAACTATAATAATCACCTCTTAATGCAAGAAAATAGTTTTGATAAAAGTTAAAAAATATAAGCAACTATTCAAATATTAAAGTTAAAAATTGCTCAAATCATAAATATGTTGGAAAGAAACTAATAATCACGCCGCACAAAGGTTAAATATATATATTTTTTTAAGTAAAATGTGTACGTTTATTTATTGCCCATTTTGCTAAAGAAAAAAAAAAAATCATTTTTGTATTTGAAGTTGGTTCAAAAACGTATAGGGAGTATATGAATAAACAATGTTTTTGAGAAGAACTAAGTGAACTAACTTACTTGGCTCCCTAGGTTAAACTCCTCTTACGGGGGCGGAGTTGCCGATTAACACGTATGCAAATACGCGTTGCTCAGTAATCTGATAAACCGAAGTTTAAGAGTTCGAATCTCGGTGCCTGGGGGGCTTTTAATTATTACTATTATTCATTCGCCTACTCCCCTGACCCCCGGAAAAAACCGTATAGTTGAAAAGGCGAAGAAGGGGAGAGAAAAAAAAAGTTAGACTCCTCTCCACTTTTTGTGATTGAAGCTTGGATTTCGATATTTTCGGAAATCCATAAGGTACAAGCCATTACAACATTAATCTTAACCTTACACAATAAATCATAATATCAATTATTACTTGGAATGGTCTATAGTATTGTCATAAAAAAATTTATGTTAAAGTTTAAGAGAAAAAGGTGAAAGAAATCTGATAAATTAGATATTTCATCAACTGGGATTTAACTCTTAATGCATCTGAAAATATCAACGAATTAACGTCAGTAAGTGTTATGCTCAGTTTAAAAAAAATTAAACTCTCACAACTACAGTATAAATATAATCTCCGTTTACTTACCAGTTAACTAACTACGTATCACATTTCACACCCATTATATTCTTAACGATTTAAATTATTTATCAATTTTATATAAATTATTTCTTCCTACACTAATCTCCAACTTTACTTAAATTGTGACTAAAACTGAACGATCAACTTTTGAAATATTTCCAAGAAAATACAATCTTTAAAAATGTCAAAAAAATTGGATTAAGTGATAGGGCCTCCACATGGATTTTACTGCAGAAAGACATGAATGGCACCAAATTTGTTTCTCAGTCTAAGAAAAAAAAATAAAACGCAAATGGAAATTTTAGATTCTGACGTCATTCATAAATTTGTTTCACGTCCCGTACGAATATAAAACTAAGTACTAATACCTTGGGTAGTGAAGAAGCAACATAATTTTAAAAAAATGGTTATAAAAATTTTCAGTTTGTAAGGAAGAACTCGAAATTCTTCTTAATTTCATTATAAAAGCAACCTTTCGACCTGTGATATGTCCTGTATGCTAAAGCAAACAATAGCCAGAAGAACCTATTAGTTGTTGTTAAAGTTCATCTCAACTGAAAGGATACACTGTTTAGTGACTAAGTTCCAACTTATGAGCCTGTAAATGATGTTTGTAAGTCACCATAAGCCTGCAAAAGAGGAAAGTATCCATATCGTGGTGAACAACCAGAAAGATGGACATCATCCCCCGCTTCCTGGGGATAATGATCCCGCGAAGAGGACTGTCCTTCCAAGATCATCCATCCTCAGGGTAGGGGAAGGCATTATCGACTATATAGCGGACGTTTTTGTAAGCTTCAACAACAATGTGTGCCGTTCGAGACGGGTGGATCAATCTGAATCTGGTAAAGGTTTAGCAGAGAAGATATTGTTGAAGATTTTTCGTAGGAAGAGCCGAGGAGGGATGGGAACGGAGAAACAAAAGGCCGCGATGAATGGAGGTGTAAAAAGGATGTCAAGAGCGGGCAGATTGATGACGGAGGCATTTTTCCGAGCGGTAGGATATTAGGGAGCGCCGGGCTAGATCTAATTAATCAGGACACTCAAGTTTTAGCCAAGTCCTCCCTGGTGAGGCTCCGCTCCAATTAATAATTCACAGCTAGTTTGCCCTGGACAAAGGGCGGCGGCCTATTGTGTGTCTGTCGTCTTATGGCCCTGTCGTGACTCGTCTTAAATTTAATGCCCCGCCCTTTATATCCTCCATTATATTCGCCATATTATGTCGCCTCTACGATAACTTGTTAACACCTTTACCCTATAGCGAGGGGTTGGTCCGTTTGACAACTTAGGTACTCCCAACTTCTAACAGTTCAGAGGCCCCACTACTAGTGGGGATTATGTCGGTGGCCCACGGACCTGGATAGAATTTTGTTATGGATAAAAATAATAATAACCCTCATAATATATGACAGCAGAGTGATTGAACACGCATAAGTAAAGGTATAGACTGAATTGATACTAAACCAGTAGTATAATTTATAAAAATTTATTGATAAACATTATATACTAGTTCCATATCTGATGGTTAGAAATCCGATGATGCTACAGCTTCTTCGTTTGTAACCCATAGCTCCACACATAAGATAAAACTACATAAACTAAGCAGCATTTACACAGCGGAACTTCACGCAATATCTGTCAGTCAGCCCTCCACTTCTGTATGTCAATAACTCCAGCCTCCATAGTCTTGATAACCGACTCCTTGAGTTCATTAAAGGGCTTAAATGATATGTACTCAAAACATCCAGTTATCATTAAAGTAATTAAGTTGTTAAAAAATCAATAAAACCCTGGATCAAACCGCCCTAATCGTAGAGAGGAAGTCGCCGTGACCAGGTTAAGAATAGGACACACGAACCTAACTCATGTACATCTCATCACTAAGCAGCCACCACCAAATTGTCAGCACTGCAATAGCCTTCTCACAGTCAATCATATTTTCCAGGAATGCACTTATTATACTTGAAGCCTAAATCGATTATCTCTAAAACCGAATATATCAGCAGTATTAAGTAACAACGAATCAAACATAAAAACAGTGATAAAATTTCTTAAAATCCATAGGCTATTATTAAATAAAATATAAAAATAAATATAATTATAATTTTATTGTTCTTTCTTTTTTATATTTACTTTAAAATATTTCATTTTTTATATGTTTTTAAATATATTTTTCATTTATTACTCTATCTATTATTAATTATTAATTCTCCTCTGAAGAGTTTACAAATATAACTGACTCACAGGCATTGATGACCCTAGGGTTTTACGCCTTAAAGCCTAAATAAACAAACAAACTAGTCCCATATCTTCCTCCATCAAAATCGAATCACAGACCAAATAGATATAGTTGACATGTAAACATCATTAAATAAAAAAACAAATTAAAAAAATATCCGGAGTTTCCTCTAACACCATTTTCCTACCGATTAATTTAACTTTAAAAATGTCCATTACAACCAAAAAGAAAGAATTGAAGAGATTGGTTGGGTCAGTATACGTCTCAGCCTAAAGTTCATCAGGGCTTTGGTCAAACAAAACATTTCCGCAAGACTTGATCTTGCGAAAATCTTTCGTTATTTATTTAATTTTACATTTTTTTTAACTGATCACTCCAACCAATCTTCTCTTCAATTATTCACTACATGTCAACCATCAAACTACAAAAAGAAAGAAAAATGAATTAGCATCATTTCCCTGAAAAATATATGTCACGTAACATTCCACGTAGAGAAATGATATTTTC